GCCACATCAATCACATCCTAAAGAGGCCTTTGGAATATCTTAGAGTACAGCAAATTATTTCTAGAGCACAGAGGTTTCTCACTCTATCATCCATCAGAGCAGCAATGACCACTGAAAGCCTCGTGCCTCCTGCCAAGAGTTGCACAGAAAACTGCAGCCATGAGTTCCCCAAACAACTGCTGAGCCACACACTGCTGACACTGCAGCTCTGCTCATCCTCCTCTGCAGCTGGAAACACCTTCTGCTTTGGAGGCTGGGCACTGGAATAACACATGCAACTGCTGCTCGAACTCTTTGGGTTAAATCACAGCTCCTTTCCACCAGCTGCAACAGCCTCTGATTGTTGGGTGGCTAAAGCTTTGCCTTCCACTTGATCCCTGGTCAACTGCCTAGAAATCTGTCACCACCTCTATTCACCACTGTCTGTATGTGTAGATATATACACACACACTATCTGTATACATAACTATCTGTTACAGCTTCACCTTGTTCATTTTCCATGACATTGAACACCTTCCTCTCTCATCGCTCCACATCCCTTCTGGATGCTTCACTTTAGCTCCCCAAAATCCACAAATTTATATTCCAAGCCATGAAAATATTTCTACCTTCTCCAAGAAAACAACCACATCACAGAACCACAGAATCTCCTGAGTTGGAAGGGACCCACAAGGAGCACTGAGTCCAACTCTTAGCCCTGCACAGGACACCCCAAGAATTACACCATGTGCTTAGTCATCACTAGTATTTTCACAAATGTAGTTCCTAACTTGTACCAAGAAACTTTGCAGAGAATATTTTTCAGCAGTTTCTAAGGCAGAAGCTCCCTGACACAGCCTGATGTGTCTATTCCCTGCACTGCTACAGCTCTAGCTTTTGTTGCTGCCCCATCAGACAGTTTGGCCCCTACCCAAACTTCTTGTCTCTAGTTCCTGTCATCTGGAACAAACTGTACTAATACTGTGGAGCTGACTCTTCATCTGGTTTCAAATCCAAGTTAAAAATATCCTTTCTTCTCTTCCCTATGAATTATCTCTCTTGCTTTCCTCCTCCAGCTCTGGAAAGTGTTAAGTCTATAGCACACAAGAATATTACACTAATGAACTGAGAAGGGAATGCTGGTTTTGCTTTTCAAACAACAGAAAGAGAAAACAGATTAAGAGATCCCATTGCATTAAAAAAATACAGCCACTAATAAATTAGAATAGAATTCCATTTAGGCCTCCTCTCATCTGTCTTACGATGTCTTGGTGTTTAAATTATGCTTAAAACCAATCTGTAAAACAGCTCAGGACAAAACATACTTGCAAAAGACACAGAGAGTTACTAGTTTGCATTTCATCTCATCATTCAAATGTGGAGTAAACACACAGACCTGATGTTGGGCTGAGGGTTTTGTGGAAAATGCCCTAGTGCACCTTTGCTGCAGATAATGAGAGAGCCAATAGGTTTATTAAGCAAATGGTGATGAATATGGTAACATGCAAGAAAAACTTGGGGTTTTTGAGCTGTCTCTTCCTTTTAGTGATGAAAATTCAGGGCATGCAGCCTGTGCTCCACACCAAGCCAATCCATCCCACAGTCCTTTCCTGGAGATGACCTGGGGATAAAGGGATCTGACAGGAACATCACTTTTATGCTGGGTAGTTGGAAGAGGCAATGGTGGTGATGCAATTAGATATTAGATATTAGGAATATATCTAGATATATTGGATTAGACATTAGGCAGAAATTTCCCCTGTGAGGGTGGTGAGACACTGTCCCAGGTTGCCCAGGGAGGCTGTGGCTGCCCCAACCCTGGCAGTGTTCACAGCCAGGTTGGATGAGCCTTAAGCAACCTGCTCTGGTGGGAGGTGTCCCTGCCCAGGGCAGGGGTTGGGGCTGGGTGATCTCTAAGCTCCATTCCAACCCCTTAACAATCTATGAATCTATAAAAAAACCCTTGTTATTTTAAATTGATCCTAATTTAAATCCAAAATCAGCAAACAAGAAGAACCATGAAGTGTCTCTCATGCTTCTCCCTCACTTTCACATAAATGTGAAAACAAAGAATCTCAAATGCACTAAGTGTATTACACTTACACAATTCCATCTCAATTCCCAGAACATTCTCATCCAATACTGGGCAACCAGTGAGTTAAAATAGGTATTTTTTAATGTCCTGATTTGAAACACTTTGTTACAGACCAATCTATCACTGACTGTCAGTACTTTTATGAGCAGTAATGCAAAATGAATATTTTACCAGACAACAAAACCCTAAGTGGAAATTAAAGCACAATAGGAGTGTGACTTGTCTGTGCTGCTGCAGCACAGACCTCTCTCTTGTGATGGAAATTGTCTATTTTGATTTTACAGCTTGCTCCATAAACAGGAATACAGTTACAGTATGAGCAAGGTTAAATGTTGCTATCTCTAGGCCAAGGGAGAAGTTAACAGAGTCTTTGAAGGAGAGGGTTTGTTTCCACATTTATTTGCTGTCTCTTGGCCAGGCACCAAAGCTTTCATATTCATAGCAGCATAAAATGCAACCAAAACAACAACAACAAAATCCTGCTGAGACTATTAAAGTGTCATTTTTAGCTGTAGGACTCCATAAATCATGGTGATGTTCTCACCTCCAGGTTCTGCTGGTGGTGGGTACTGCAATCATCTCCAGCTGGTTTATGCATACAGGTTACTGGTTCAGCTTTTATTATACCCACAGAGACCTCTGTCCCTGTTCCCTGTCCTAAGTTTAGCACAGAAAACCTCTTCAATGAGGATTTAACATGCCAAAATCTAGTTGTCTCCCAGCTCACCTACTTGCTGCCCCTTGGGATTGGTGGCACTGTGGCGTTGGGGATGATGAGCAGCAGGTCCAGGACAGCCTGGGCCTCTCCTTGTCCTAGTTCATGGCCCTGAAGTCCCAGAGGTGAGGCCACCAGCCTCAGGCTGTGGGAAACCAGAGGTGGCTCAGCAAGATAATACAGTCCCAGGGAATAAACTAAGGTGTGTGGGCAGGTAAAACATAGCCCTGGTTTGGTGTCATGAGGAAAAACAGAGTTCCAAAAGATGACAGTTCCTGGCCTGAAGTGCAAGTTTTCAGGTGTTGGACCAGGCACACAAACAGCAATCTGAAATACAGAAATATACCAGCACACATCTCTTTCTTTTTCATGTTAAAAGGGAGTGCAGCAAAGCCTTCAGGACAAATGTAATTCAACGTTAGGAGCAGCCCCTTTACCTCCAGGTGCAAAATGCTGCTCCGCATCCCAGTGGGCAAACATAGGAGTGCTGGAGGGATTTGGCATCAAAAGAGTTTCTGCTGGAAAGTAGGATGGAAAGAGGAACTGTTCCTGACAGCATCTGCTGGTTCTCATCTAACAACAATAAACTTTAATTCTGCTTTTTAAAACAGGACATATTTCACCTCCATATTTCAGATTTAATTTCCTTCATTAGAAAGTAAATTTAATCTGAAATCCTCCATTTAAGGAACATTCTGTGGGGAATAAAAAAGAATCCTTAAATTCCCGTTGCTGTTGCAAACTATTGCTGCCAAAATGGGGGAAGAAAAACGGAGCAGAGAAGAAAGAACTCTGTAAAGCCATTGATACTACAAATCCAAACTCAGTGTAAATTACGCACAGAAAATCCTCCTCCTCTGACAGATTTACTAGCAAAGCTGCAGAAAGTACCTACAGATTAATAAGTCTTTATTCAAGATCCAGAATATGTTATGTGGTATTTATTGCTTTCCTAGAGCACATTATCATAAACACTTGCACAGCAACATATACTTTAAATCAATGGCAAAGTTCTCACTGATATCTCTGAAAGCAGCTGATCCCCTCATTTGCTAAAAGCCTCATCTGCAGCAACTGTTTCTGTTGGTCATTAGAATTAATTAAATCCTTCTGTGTTATGTTAGAATGTACATCTTCTACAACAGCCTTAAGGGCCTGTTGTAATGGCAGGAATCAGATGAGATGGTCATGAAGCCTTATCAGGAAGGGGTGAAACACCCTAGAAGGAAGAAGAGATAAGGCTAAATAGCAAAGATAAAGACACAAATGGGCAAAGGCAGGTGGAGTGACAGGGACCAGGACAGAAGGGACAGGCACCATGAGGTCAAAACCAAGGACTGAGAGAGGCAAGAAGCAGAAAAGAATCCTCTGGAAGAGAACCTAGCAATGAGGCACACGGGGTGGCAAAGAACTGCTCTTGGATGTCTTAATTTGGAAGGGCAACGCTCAATCACACTCTGAATCCAGCACTTGGCTTTGCTCTCAGCCTCCTCAAGTGCCAGGGATGCTGGCTGGGAGCTGCTGGGCTGATGCTCCAGGGAGGGGCTTGGAGTATTCCATCAGGCACCTGGCTGAGAGCAGGATAAAGCCTTTACAGGGCCTGCTTGAGCAGAGATAAATAATGTCCATCAGTCAATGGTCTGGTAAAACATGTGTTAGCATGAAAGGAATATTGGTGTAATATTTCATTTTCAAATAGTAAAGCTTCTTTTTTATTTAGTGACATTTAAATTTGCTTTCTTGTGTTACAGGTACAAAACCCTAAAAAAATGGCTGTGGTATGACCATTTAGATTTGTTCAATGGACCAGAAAATATCCCTGTCCAATTCGTAGTGTTTTGAAGGCAAACCTGTAGTGTAACTGAGGAAGGCAGAGAGCACATAATAAGCAAAATAATAGCAATTCATATGTTTGCTTTATGTCATTTTAAGCTGAATTTCACCCCAAAAATCCTCCACAGGATTACACTTCCAATTCCCTTGTGACATTTATGCTTCACTGAGTTATTTCAACCCCATTTGGGAGAGGCACAGATCTCAGTGATAAGGAGTTTGCTATGACAAGTAGGGAAGGATGGAACACAAAATCAGGTAAACAAGAGGGTGGATACATGAAGGTCATGGGAAAAGTGGTTTCCAAGTTCAGCTGAATGACCTAATTTGGTGTCATTGAGCATGAAAACTGGACATGTCATCCTGCCATCTTCACAGGTATCAGGTACATCCTCACCATGGTTAGTTCAAAGCATGTTTTGCAGTACTGTGACTCCAGAGACTGTGGAGGTAAGTCCCATTTTGCCTTTCAGAGATGCTTCTCCAGGAGATCACACTTGGTTTTGGCCCTCAAACTGGGCAGCGTGTGCCAGGCACTCTGAGTGCCAATGATCAGCCTGTTTTGTGAGCAGCACATAATTAGACTTGTCTCATTTGGAGTGAGATATTCAGACTGCTGAACAAAAGATTTTTCTCCTGCTTCTCTTAGTTGGTTTTCTGCTGTCACCAGAGACTGCATTAATGGCATTGCAGCCAATATGGGCCAAAGCTATGAAACAAGAAAAATTTGTAAGAAGAGGCAATAACTTTTACTGCATTACTCAGTACAGAAAAAGCTTCACAGAGAAAAAGCACTCAAGCATTGTGCTCCCAGCCTGTTCATCAAGACATTATCAGCATCATGGCTCAACAGGACACTCGCCTCTGGAACTAAAATAAAAAATGTTATTTAACATTTGCCTTACGGTGCAGATCAGTCAAGATTAGGAAACTCTATTTTGTTACTTTGTGAGTCCGAAGAGTTGGGAGTTCCTTTCCATCAGTAATTTTCCCTTCCACCATTTTTCAAGGCCACTTCTGAAGGATTAGTGCTGACACTGCTCTGCTTGGTTTTGATGCACTAGGCATATTTAAATCGTGGCAAAAGCTGTCAAAGCCCTGCAAGATCTCCAAGTGGAGTTAATACACAGAGTATATAAAAAGACTCCTTGCTCCCCTGACTTGCTAAAGCCCCTCAAAGCACACGAACCACGAGCACAGGCTGTGCCTGACGCTCTCACACGCAGTCACCTCCCGCTCTGCTGCTGCAGCACCCAGGGGTGAAGCCCATTGTGCTGGGATTAGCCTCCCACATGACATCCCTGCAATCACAATAAGCACTCCAGAGCCTCCTATTCACGGCAGCAGGAGTGATAAAGGTCAGGCTCAGCGTGCTCTTTCCCAATTATTCTCCTGCCTGGCCGAGCTGCAGCAGACAAGAGCAAACACACAGGGACTCTCTAACATGCTGCTAAAGAGCAAAAGCTACTCAGTTTCTCTTTAACATCTTTTGGGTTCAATCACTGTGATTTTTCAAGAGTTTGGATGATTTTTGAAATATATTTGCTCCTCATCTGGGTTATTAAACCAGCAGGAGCAGGACAGGCAGACCACAAAGGCAGCTGCAGCCCAAGACAACTTGCAAACTGAAGAGCTGCAAAATACTAATCCTGCAGCAAGGAAAAATGGATTTCCTCAGGTTTAGGGGGCCTGAATGATCAATCAGCACACAAAAGACTCCTTCCATTGCTAATGTGTTTTTGCTCGGAATAACATACGTCAGAGAAATGGAGTTTTTAACCTTTTCTCAGGAGAACCACTGCTTTTCAGAGCTGCTTGACGGCAGCGATGGTGATGAAGAGGAAATACTTGTGTGTGGAGAAGATTTAGAGCTTAATCCTTTTGATGGCTTGCCTTACTCCTCCCGTTATTACAAACTTCTGAAAGAAAGAGAAGAGCTTCCAATATGGAAAGAGAAATCTACTTTCATGGAAAGTTTGCTCCGTAATCAGATCGTGATTGTGTCAGGAGACGCTAAGACTGGCAAGAGTTCCCAGGTCAGTACCACAGGCTTGGCTGGGGGTGGGTGAATGTATTTTTAGAGCATTTAATGCTGCGTCATCTTTAGAGTTACTATTTCACTGATAATATGTATTTTTAATGATAATTTTGCAGTGAATTTAGTGCAAACAGCTGTTGCCCTGCACTGGGCACATCAACATCCAGATCTATATGATACCTGTTAGTCGTAGCCTGTTGCTGTGCTGAGTAATGTCTGCTATTGCAATGGAAAAACATCCAGTTCCAACACACACAGCTGCACAGAGTGGAGCAGTTCTCACTGTAGAAAAACGTGTGCTATCTCATCTATTGTAATCTGAGGGATTAAGGCCAGAGAGGGCAAGTGAAACACAGAAGGTAAATAAAGATCAATGGAGTCAAACACAGATTTTAAAGATATTAAACATTTAACTCTCTTCAAATGTTCACCAAAAATTGGCACTTTGTTTCAAGGCAGCTTTACTTGGTTGATGATGTTTTTAGGGTTCAGGGTAAGTTGAGCACTGAAGAGTAACACTGGTTAGACTGTGATTGGCTGACACTGTCCAAAGCAACTAACAAAAATCTCAAACAACTTCTTTTATTGCACTAAATACTGAATTTAAACTATCAAGCCCTTTCTGAGCACTGAAGACCACATGCATGAACTATTGCAGCATAAAATCCAGAACCAAATATACACAGAGCCTTAGAAAAATTCAGTATAAAATATTATTGCATCTTCCACTAAGGTCACTGTTAATTTTTGGTTCATTTATATATCACAGCATCACATCTCAAAATGAAAACCTATCAAATACACAATTTGCAATGTATTACAGGGTATCTCAGCTGAAAGGTTTCCCTACTGAAATTACAGGTGTATTTCCACTGTCTGCATAGTGTAAAATTTTTCAGGACTTATTTCAGGTTGCTTTGTATTTCATCAGTAAATTCCTTCCATGTTTAACTATTCATTATTTTGTTCATTTGAAGAATTTGATTGTGTTCTTACCCCTGACTAAACCTGTCATTCTATCCTCTTCCTGTCCATCACCACACTGAACTCCCACTGGCAATGGTAAACTCTGCAATGCCTGTTTTGGATTCAATGCATACTTCTACTTGGAAAGTGTGTTTTGGTTCTGATTAGTGCTATATCAGGGAAGAAATACAGTGGATTTGCAGGCAGGTCATAAGAGAAGGTGAGAAAAGTCCTCAGGGAATGAAGGATTGAAATCAGCAGGGCTGTTCTCAGGGAGAAGAAAAAGTCTTCCCCTCACTTCAGCCAGGAGTAAATGCTTTTTTCCAAGAACACAAAACTACTTGAAAAAACTTGTGTTAACACTGAAGTCAAGATCTCAATTGACTCTAAGCACACAAATATTAACCAGGACTAACAAACTCTGCTGTAACTGCAGCAAGCAGGGAAGAATTTTCAGGCAAGTGTTATAAACTAAAATATTATTGTTTGGGGGCCTCCAGGGAAGCTGCAAAGGGATCTGTGTTAGGAGCTACAGTGACAGGACAAGGAGTAATGGGGAGAAATTGAGAGAGGGAAATTTAGGTTAGATATCAGGCAGAGGTTTTCCCTGTGAGGCTAGTGTGACACTGGCACAGGTTGCCCAGGGAGGCTGTGGCTGCCCCAACCCTGGCAGTGTTCACAGCCAGGTTGGATGAAGCCTTGAGCAACCTGCTCTGGTGAGAGGTGTCCCTGCCCAGGGCAGGGGTTGGGGCTGGATGAGCTCTGATGTCCCTTCTAACCCCTTAACATACCATGAAAGTATGTTTATGGCTGGGATCAGGAGAAAACTTTCCAACAGGTAAAGCTGCAGGATAATTACTCTTGCAGAGCATCTTATATCTGCCAGAGACTTCAATGCTGGACACTGCTAGAAATCACATATTGAACTAGAGATATCATACTTCTCACTGAAAATTCCTATGTTCCTATAAAAATGATACATACCCCTACACACGTGGAATAATTTTTGGAGTTTGAAGTTTTTATCCCTTGTTATTGACTGATTTATGCACGACAAAGTTTGCATAATACTAAACACTTTGCAAAGAAATGTTAGGGTTTATCTTGTCCTTAAATGAGTTTATAAGATCTAACACATTGCTGGTTGATTTTTAAACATTTTTAGAAGTACATATAACTGCACAGAAATTAATTCACAGAATCACTTAGGTTGGAAAAGACTTCCAAGGTCATCGAGTCCAACCTCTGACTCTTCACCACCATGTCAACTAGATCAGGGCACTAAGTGTAATGTCCAGTCATTTCTTGGCCACTTCCAGGAATGGGGTCTCCACCACCTCCCTGGGCAGCACATTCCAGTGCTTAACAACCGTTTCCATGAAGAAATTATATGTGGCTGTTGCACCTAGTTTTATACATTGATTAAGTAAAGGATTTGCAACCCAATACTTTCACTGAAGTGATATTTATAATGCAATTTTGCTTTCTCATGATAATAACACACTCATATTTCCCAGTGTTGATTTTGTGTATATAAAATAAGTGAGCTGCTGTGTGTGGAGCAGTTCTGTTTCAGTTTCAGTTATCTCTTCTTACAGAGTAATTCACCTGAAATTACCTATATTTACTGTGGCATTTGTCTCCTTGAAATCCTGTTCTTCCTGGGCCTTGTTTCTCCCAAACATAGCACAAGCAGGTTCACTGCTGAGGCAGCTCAGCAGCTCTGACAACAACTGCACTAACCTTGTTGGATCAATCAGCAGGTGCTTGTCCAATGCCACTGTTACCTGCTCCGCAGGGTCCAGTCCTGTCTCTTCTGCAATATATTCACACTAATCTGAGCCCAGCTGAGAAATTCCCAGGTAAACCTTCCAGTTCATGTCACTGCAGCTGTTGAGAATTTAGAGATTGCAGGTCTTGACATTTGCCATGGAGATGATTTCCATGTGAGGCACAGCTCACCTGTCAGCGGCTGCTCAGCTTGGTTTGCTCGTTCCACACTGTCATAGAATCATAGAATCACAGAATCAACCAAGTTGGAAAAGACCTCCAAGATCATCAAGTCCAGCCCTTCTGGGGTTACTAGACCATGGCACTAAGTGCCACATCCAGTCTCCGCTAGAAAGCCTCCAGGGATGATGAATCCACCACCTCCCTGGGCAGCACATTCCAATGCCTGATCACTCTCTGTCTCCTTTTGAATTACAGCCTGTGAACTCCTAAATCCACCTGTTCTCTTCTCTCCTCCCAGATCCCCCAGTGGTGTGCCAAGCACTGCCTCTCTGCGCGGTGGCGGCACGGCGCGGTGGTGTGCACGCAGGTGCACAGGCAGACAGCAGTGTGGCTGGCCCTGCGTGTGGCTGACGAAATGGATGTCAACATTGGCCATGAAGTTGGGTATTTCGTCCCCTTTGAAAGCTGCTGTAGCACAGAAACTATCCTGAGGTTGGTGTGGTTGGTTTTTAAGGCCTTCAGGCTGACATGTAGCTCACAGCTCTAGGTGAGTGCCAAGGTTTGCAGCTGACAGCAGTGCAGCTCTGGAAAACAACAAAAAAAAACCCCTCAACGTTGCTTTATAAAGTTCGTGATTCATCAGTAAGCAATAATAGGCTTGAAGGAGGTAATTCTGCACTAAATCACAGTAGATATTTCAGTAAGCAAGGTTACTGTCCATGTAAAACTTCATTAAGCACCTCAGTAACCTCTATTTTTTCCCCTCTATTTTTTCCTCTATTTTCCAGTACAGGGGTGTTCATTACCATAAAATAATCTATCTCAAAGTAAAGCTGGAATTTAAAATAATCCAAAACCATGGCTAGAAGATGGTACATTCAGTGACAAGAGAAAAAAGTCTCTCAGAGGGTTTTTAAGAGATAAAAAATGCACTTAATGCATTAAGTATAGGCAGGTGACAGCAGCACCACAGAGATTCAGCTTTTGAGCCTCCCAGAAAGTTAGGAGAGTTACTTCCTCTGCTTCCTTAATGTAGCAGGCACAAGCTACAGAATCTAGACCATAAGCCTTTTTCCCAGGCACTGATTTCCAGAGGAGAAGAGGATACTCACCACATCTGAAAATCAACCACTCTCCCTTTTGTGTGTCCTTTCCCTTTCCACTGAGAGCTCTGTAAACCTCATCCTGCAGCACAACTTCCTGCAGCTGCTCCTGTTGTTCAAGGGAGATGAATCCTGTCCTCTCACACACCAAAATCTGCTTCGAGGACGCAAAGTCCTGCTGAGCAACACAACAAAAATAATCTCCTTTAATGGAATAATAGGGACAAAAGTGAGGAGGGCCCTACAGCGTGAATTAGTCTCTCATCTTGGTTCTGGTGCTGCCTCAAGTGCACCTTCTCTTCCTCATCTAAAAGTATTAGTTCTTTGCTCAAGAATATGTTTGGGGCATGTAATATGCTTAGATAGTTTGGAAGATGAAAGGCAATACAGGTTATGATTTTAGGGCAGAAGTATGTCTTCTTTTGCCTAGAGCATCCTTTCAACCATAGTGCCACCGAGTGTCATTGAATCACTTAGAGTTTGTAGCTGCTTAAAGGAAGATTTAAGCATGTAGCTGCTGAGCCTGTGATACTGTCAAAAGACTCTGTTCTTTTCAAATCTTTCCTGCTAGAGCAGAAAGAACCAAGCTGTCCCCAAGACCCTGAAAAAAATCTGAATATTCCAAGAAACTTTGTAAGAGTTTTCTGTTTCTGTGTTGCAGATACTGTACAGATGATATGCTACAGAGGGAAATGATGTCTACACCTCTCCTGACCTACTATGGGGTTATTATCTTGGATGATGTGCATGAAAGAACTGTTGCAACAGATGCACTGCTTGGCCTTCTGAAAGATGTCTTGCTAGCAAGGCCAGACCTGAGGCTGGTGATACTCACTGCCCCTCACATGTCCAGCAGACTGCAGAGTTACTATGGCAGCATCCCTGTGATCAGGGTGGAAAGCAAACACCATGCAGAGGTTGTGTACTCCTGCAGCATCCAGAAGAACCACTTTGAGGCTGCCCTAAGGCTGCTCTTTGAGATACACCACACAAGGGAGAAGGGGGACATTGTGATCTTCCTGGCATGTGAACAAGTGAGTGATGAACCTATACTCATATCTCTGCTTTGAATCAAGAGACAGCTTACATCATGTTTTTATGTGACTTATAAAAATCTTGTTACCAGTACCTAAGCAGATGTGCCAACAGGTTTAATTG